ACCACGAGAGGTCACCTTGGACCTTTAGAGATTGTAGTTGACCTCGAATGATCATCACTGACAGCCCAAGATCATTGTCAACCACATCCAACAACTTCTATGGCTCAATTATTATTCTCAGACAGTTGTTGCCTAATTTTTACTTTGTAATCCCACATTCTCCACTCGTAGAGAAGAGTATTACTCTCTCTAACTTAAATGTTCTTTCTTACCTTTTGAATTTCCCAGGTAAAAAAATGTTGGTTTCTCCTTTCATGACTATTCTTTTATCTGTCAGTGTTGAATCTTTACTTCATACTCATACGTTAAATTTTCACTCTACTGTGTGATTTCCCTAACATGTGTATGTGCTTATGCGCACACACGTGTGGGAAAGTCTCGATACATAGACAACTGAAGTTGGAGTATTGATGATCAGAACATGATTCAATTTTGAAAATGAGCAAGAGGGAGAGAAAAATTTTGGGTTTTATAAATCTTAGTTGTGCTTTATTTATAAATCAATTAAAAATTGACAACGCACTAATATCCTATAAACATAAACTTTATAAGTGATTGAACCTAATTTCATAAAAATAATGATAGCATAAATAATGCATGCAGTGCAATAAAAATACATACAAAAACATAATTAAAACTCATCCATAAAATTCCCTCTAAAGAAGAAAGTGGGCATCCTACTGAATAATGAAGGTTAATGAATATGATTTAGGCCGAGCTATAATGATGACTCATCATTGGAAACTCAAAGAACAATTGGCACTAACATTCATATCAAAATTTAAACAAAGTTGCACCACCAACTTAGCATCTAACTCAACCCACACATAAGAAATTAAGAGAAATAGCTGAAATCAAGCTCTCTTTCAGCGCAAATAACTCAATATTGATAAATGAGGAATTACTAATCGGACTAGCAAATGTAGTTAAAAAATTACCCTCATGGTCTCTCAAGATTCCACCAAAGCTGCTAGATCTATTAGCCACCGATCCATCCGTATTGGATTTTACCCACCCCAACTGAGGAGCAAACTAATTTACCTTAACAAAGTAAGAGTCGAAAGGCTCCAAATCTTGAAGACTAAAGGCAAATAGAGCATGTCGAAAGCCTTTAAAACTTTTAGAACCGATTAAACTGGCTTTAATCAAGAAGTGAATTTTATGAGAAGTATTTAAAATGATATAAGATTGATTCATATTAGTACTTCGATGCTTCGAGTTATTCCTAGCATTCGATATGAACCACAAAATAAGAGATATATGATTTCTAGAAGTCTTGGGAGTAAAGGAAAACCAATTGCTTATAAGCTCCATTTAGAGAGACATTAGGTTGAAAGCAATTTTTATTGAAGATCGAATCCATCCGATTCCAAATGAAAGTAGAAATGCAACTTTGAACAAAAAGGTGCTAAACAACCTTCATGTTAGAGCTACACTGTCATTAAGGGCTATAGAAGTACCATGATATTGAAGTTTACAATCCGCAAGTAAGAAATTATGTAAGATCTTCCAAGATAAAATAGAATAGAATGGATAAATGGCAATGCCCCAAAAGGGGAAAAAAGTTATTATTTATCTCTTTCTTAGCACAACACTGATTCCAGACTTCTTTAAGGGAAAAGCAACCATTAGACGAAGTAGAAAATAATATTTTATTATTCAAATCCTCAAATATTTTAAGTTGGCAGATCATATCAACTAAGCGTGGGAGAATGAACTCCGGAAGTAATTAGACGTTCTACACCCCGCTATTGAAAAATTGGTGAACCTTCCAAGAGGAAGTAGAATGAGAATTAAGTACAAAGTCTAGAGAGTCACACCCAAGCCAATTGCCTGCCAGAAAAAGATGTCATATTTACCCAAACCCCATGTAATGAAAGCCTTCGCCACCCATTTCACTTACACCTTCCCTAAAATATAACAACTTTTATTAAGATTGAAATGAAGACCGCTTAAACTTTCAAAGTTATTTAACAATATTTTAATAAATGAGTTTAAAAGACGTGATAAAGCCATTAGAAAAGATGATGATGTCATCGACAAATGCCAAATGAGATATGTCCATATCACATTTGGTTCTAAAATGACAATTGTTGTGATTCACATTGAGAGAGTTAAGCAACCTTGAGAGATATTAAGCGGCAATAATGAACAAACCGGGTGATAATGGTCACCATGTCACAAATCTTTAATAGAGTTAAAGACACCATAATGAGGATAGAAAACCAACAATTATTAATAGAGTTAGCTATAAGGGCTATAAACCTGTCAATAAAACCAAACAATCTCAAGACCTGATAAATAAAGTTCTAACTGATGTCATAAGCTTTAGAGATATCTAACTTGAGAATCAAATTATGCCCACGAGATTTCAGATGCAAGTCATGCACAAGCTCTTGGGCAAGTAAGAAATTATCCATAATGCCACGACCTTTAACATATCCTGTTTGATTTTTGAAAATAATAAAAGGGAGGATACTTCCGAAACGCTTAGATAATATTTTAGAAATTAATTCATTAAGGACATTTTATATGCTAATAAAAAGAAAGTCCTCCCATCTAAGCGGAATATGAGATTTAGGACTTAAGACTATATAAGAGCTGGTAAAAAACTTAAGATAGGGCTGACCTTGAAAAAAAGCAAAAGCAACATTACAAACATCAATTTTAACTACACTCCAAACTTTTTGGAAAAAGGCAGTATTGAAACCATCCGGACCTGCAATAGATTTCGGATTCATAGATTGCATCACTATCAAAATTTCCTCCATATCAGGGCATTTACAAAGGGACATATTTTGATCCTCATTAGCAGAACTAGGAATGACATGATACATAACTTGCGTCAAATCCAAAGTAGCTGTATTGAACAAAGTAGAAAAGTAGTTAATGGCTGAATTAGCTATAAGACATTCCATAGAAAGGACATAATTACCATAATTTATTTTTAAAATACGATCACAATTTTTTTTTGTTGATAATTGCATGAAAATATTTAGTGTTCCTATCGCCTTGTAAAAATTTAAGCGCCGCTTTTTCTTTCCAGTAGACCTCTTCCATGTGCTGAAGTTGGGAAAGCTTAAGTTTAGCCTCATTTAAATCCAACCTCGAAACAAAGCTAAGAAAGTTCACTTCATTATCTTCAAGATTAATGAGCAGAGATTCAACATCACGAATATTGACGAACAAATTTTTGAAATGATTTCTATTCTACCAATTTAAAAATTGCTAAGGCGCTTCAATTTAGACAATAATCTCAGAAAACCACCAATATCATTAGAAGGAACAAGAGGAGCATTCCAGTTCTCAGCAATAAGATTAAGAAAGTTCGGAAAGTGAAACCACATATTTTGGAAATGAAAGCAATGCGAATTGGAGGAATGTGAATGACCTAACGAAAAAACAACGGCGAGTGATCATATTGAGACCTATTGAGATGTTCAATGTGAGTGGCCAAAATATTATTAACCCAATGGCTGTTAAAAAGGAATCGGTCAAGCCTTTCCCATAACCTTTTATTTGACCAAGTACAGGAAAAACCAGTAAAACCAATGTCAGCAAGATTACAATCAAGGATAACATCATTAAAGTCCTCTATCGAACGAATGGAAGGAACATTACGAGCACGTCTTTCAGAAGGGGATGAAATGCAGTTGAAATCACCCACAATGCACTAGGGACCATTAAGATTAACAGAGATATCCCACAGAGTTCGCCTTAAATGAAGCTGAGTACAACGACAATAACTAGCATAAATAAAAGAGCAAAATAAGATAGAATCAGCTGAGACGATTGTAGTGTGAATAACCTGTTGATGATCCCCTAAAATCTCAACATGGATCTGATCCTGCCAAAAAAGCCAAAGTTTGTTAGAGCAGTTTGCATAAGCATAATTAAAACCCAAAAGTGAAGTCATTCTTTGCAAATTACAACTAGCAGCCATAGGTTCAGAAATAGCAACCACAGAAAAGCCATACATCCTAAATAAATTTTTAACTCGCTCTTGGGAGGCATTAGCACCAATACTCCTGATGTTCCAATAAAGAACTTTAAACATTAAAAAGAGATAGAAAGAGAGTTAGCAGATTGATGAGTAACCCTCAAAAGGGTTAGCGTATTAGACTTGCTATTTCTTCCCTTCTTCTTGGAAACAACACAAAATCCATCAACATCTACCAAATAAGAATCGGAAGTGCGAATAGAAATAAGTTTGTTTTGGTGCATATTAGAAGAAGAAGGCACCAATTCCCCTTCCTCTTTATCCGAGAAGGTCAAATCCACACTATTTTGATCTGAAGGATAAATATTAGGAGCAGAAGCAGAAGGAATAAACTTATTACCACAAGTTGAGGGCATAAGGGCACTTTGCTTTTCAGTCTTCCCAAAATTTTCCACAACCAAAGCAGTACCAGCCACATTATTTGACTATTGAATAATTTAAGCTACAGGATGAGGGCTTTTAGGATCATCAGCCAACAGAGAAGCTACCAACTATCTTCACGGCCAAGAAAAATTTACAAATATCAACAAGGGAAGGTCTCTGAAAAAAAGAACTTACCAATCAGAGTAAACCAAAAATGAGCGGTTAGGGCATCAATGGTAACCTCGTCCATAAGCAGAGCAGGTCTGCCATTGAGGGACGAAGCACGCAGAGACAAGGAGATTAGGTTGGAAGACTTACCTGCCATAACTTCTCTGAATGAGCGAGAAGGCAATAAAGGGGGTGCAAAAAGGTCCACCGAAGGCTCCAGGAAGTGACGTAGCACCACCACACTCCATCGGAGAAGAGGCATACTGCCCCCCACGCAGTCGAGCACCAGGAAGACCAATAGAGAGAGCAAGCGTCAGTTTCAAAAAGACGCGGCTAGGGCATGTTGGCAATGGCCTCCCACGCCCTCCGTTGTCGGGACGGGCGGCGGGGTAGGCCGCCGGCGAGAGAGACGGCCGGCGGAGCGAACGCGAGGGAGCAGGAGCAGGGTTACGGATTTCGGCTACTGGGCATCGGGAGAAGCGACTCACCTATCTGAAATTTGAGTTTGAGCTTTTATACTAAACTTAGTCGCCGGTTTACTCCTGCAGGGCCCGCCGGCTGCACGT